CCACAACACCCAGGACTATATTTATTTGGGCAAATGGCAAAGAGGGACGTGACAATGGACTTAAATGCACATTGATCCACACAAAAAACAGTCTTTTAAATAAATCTATCCCCATATCTTTAGTCTAAAATACCCTCCGTAATATATTTTTTATCAATTCCATCCATTATACACTAACTTCCTCAATATTATTGTTTTAGACAGTTAAATTACTGTTTTAGACAGTTAAATTACTGTTGGAGACAGTAATTTAGCAGCCAAGATAGTAATATTAATTAAAATATTTTTTTTAAGAAAAAACAAAATGTCAATCAAAAGAAAAGAAAAAAAAGAAGTCAATTAACAGTTAAATTACTGTCTTCGATAGTTAAATTACTACTGGAGACAGTAATTTAGCAGTCAAGATAGTAAAAAAAAATCAACGTCGGAGACCCAGCGGTTAACGACTATTGACCTACTGGAAAAAAAAATTGAAAAAAAAAAAGTCAACGCCGGAGACCGGCGGCTAACGAGGGGTCTCCGGTGGTGGCGGGTCAACATTGGTGTCAAAATAGGACTTATGGTCAAAATTAGTTAACATGAGAAATTTGGCTAAATTGGGGTATAAATCATGAAATTGAAGTTGAATTGGGTTTCTAGGAATTGGGAGTAATTTTGGTATATATAAAAGGGTTTTCCTTATTTGCAAATAAATTTGAATGATCTGGAAATATTTGAAAGACAAAAAAGATGGATGTCTTTTTTTAAGTTAAGTGCCCTTGCAATGGTCTCTTTGACATACCCATATATGTTTGTAAATGGCACTTTACAAATAAGCTTATCAATGGGTATTTATTCATAAAAGAGTCCTGATAGTCCACAAATTGTCTAGAGGTTTGTAAAAGACTAAAATAGCCCATCGCATTTTAATAGGCTTCAATTTCATCATTTAATTTAATTTAACCTCAATTTGACCCAAAACATAATTTTGAGTACAACTTCGTCCGTCGCCGCCGGTCACCGGTGTTGGCCTTTTTTTTTTTTCCTGCCTGATTTTTCCGCGGGCGTTCACTTTTTCGAATTTTTTTCCCCTGATATTTTTGCCGCCGGTTTTCGACATTCACTTTTTCGATTTAATTTCTTAACCCCACCCCACCCCAACCCTCCCCCACGCCATTTAAACAACAATATTGTTGTGGTTGACAGTAATATTAACTATATTACATTAACAAAATAAAAGTCATTATTATTGTGTAATAGAGTAATATTAATATGTTGACCGTATAAAGGTAAACATAATAAAAAAAGCAAAAGAATTAATATTACTGTAACAACAATAATATTACAGTCAAGCACAGTAATATTATTGTGTTTACAGTAATATGACAATAGTAGACAGTAATATGACAATAGTAGACAATAATATTGTTACGTTACTCCGTCAACAACTCAAACAAAACAAAAAAACAAAAAAAAATATTGATGTGGTTGACAGTAATATTACTGTGTTTACAGTTATTTTACTGTCAACGACAATAATATAATTACGTTGACTTGTCAACAAATCAAACTAAAAAAGTATATATAAAAAAGCCAAAGGCAAATTATAATATTGTCTTTGACAATAATTGTACTGTCAACGACAGTACAATTACGTTAATGTACTGTCAACGATAGTATAATTACGCTAATGTACAGTCAGTGACAGTATAATTACTGTTATATGACAGTACAACTACAGTCAACGTTTAGCGGCGGGCGTAAAAAAATGGAAAGAAAAATCACGAAAAAATTCAACGTCGAAAACCAACAGCGAAAAAAAAAGGGAAATCTAAAAGTCAACGCCGGAGACCAACGACAAAAAACAATTCTCAAAAAATAAAATTAAAAACAAAGTCAAAATTGGATTTTTGTGGTCAAAATTGATTAAATTGGAGTTACAATTAAGAACTGGGTGTAAATGGTTGGGGTAATTTTGTCATATACATTAATTTTTCCTTTATTTATAATACTATTAAAGGGATGAGCTTACTAGCGAAAGAGATATGTCCCCTGAACCTAGAATAATAAAAATGGTTGGTCAGGAACTTATGCATAAAAATCACTTTTTTAAGTACACGAGATATGGAATAAGACTAGAATTAATTGGATGGGAAACACTAACCAAATCACAACACCCATGACTATATTTATTTGTGCAAATGGCAAAGAAGGACATGACAATGGACTTAAATGCACATTGGTCCGCGCAAAAAAAAAAGCCTTTCAAATAAACTCATCCCCATGTCTTTAGTGTAAAATACCCTCCATAAAATATTTTTTTATCAATTCCATCCATTATACTATAATTTCCTCAATATTACGGATTGACCCCGGATTTAAACAAACATATCACACTAACCCCCATTTTAATAAAAAAAAAAATCCGGCAAGATTCCGTTGTTGATTTTTTTTTTCTTCAATTTTTTTTCTAAATTTGTTTTCCTGCCAGTCAACCGCAGTTGACCGCCGGTCTCCGGCTTTTTCATTTTTTTTTTCTTAAAAAAATATTTTAATTAATATTATTGTATTGTCTACTAAATTACTATTTGGGACAGTAATATTACTGTTTAGGACAGTAATATAATGAATATTAATTTACTGGATAGTAACATTACTAATATTACTGTCCCAAACAACAATATTATTGCATGAGACAAATATTACGGTCGGAGACAGTAATATTACGGCCGAAGACGGCAAAATTGCATGCCAAGACGATAAAATGAATTAATACAGTAAAATTACTGTCTCATGTAGTTAAACCACTGTTTCAGATAGTTAAATTACTGTTGGAGACAGTAATTTAGCAGCCAAGACAGTAATATTAATTAAAATAATTTTTTTAAGAAAAACCAAAATTTCAAAAAAAAATAGAAAGAAAAAAAAGTACATTAACAATAATTTAGCAGCCAAGACAGTAATATTAATTACAATAATTTTTTTAAGGAAAAAAAAGTCAATTAACTGTTAAATTACTGCTAGAGACAGTAATTTAGCAGTCAAGACAGTAATATTAATTAAAATATTTTGTTAAGAAAAAAGAAAAAAAAAGTCAATGCTGGAGACTTGGCGGCGTTCAACGACGGTTGACCTACTAGAAAAAATGTTTAAAAATTTAATAAAATAAAATAAAGTCAACGCCGGAGACCTGCGGTCTTCGACGGTTTCCGGCGGCTGACCGGCGGTCTTCGGTGGTGACGGGTCAAAATTGGTGTGAAAATTGGAATTATGGTCAAAATTGGTTAATCGGTGAAATTGGGCTAAATTGGGGTATACTTCATGAAATTGGAGTTGATTTGGGTTTCAAGGAATTGAGGGAATTTTTTATATATATAAAAAGGGTTTTTCTTATTTGCAAATAAATTTGAATGAGCTGGAAATATTTGAAAGAAAAAAAAGCTGAATGTCATTTTTTTAATTAAGTGCCATTGTCATGGGCCTCTTTAACATTAACCCATTTTTATTTAGGTACAAACTAGAGAATAGTTAACATAATCTATAAAATTCCACTAAATTTGACACCGCATAGGTGCAAACGTGTAAGAAAATTCATAGTTAGTGGTTATTGTAATTATCCAAACATGAGGGGGTTTTTCGTAATTTGACCATATCTCAGGGGTGATCGTAACTTATCCTTTTTTTTTTTATTTTGAATCACAACTACCCGTCGTTTACTTATCTTAAAGTTCTAACTAGGGGTGGTAAACGAGCCGAACTGACTCATGAGCTCGACGAGTCGGCTCGTAAAAAGCTCGAACTCGGACTCGAGGCTTTCGAACTCGAGCTCGAGCTTTCTGACGAGCCGAGCTCGAGCCGGTTTTTTGTTGTTCATGAGCTCGCGAGCCTTATTTATTATTATTATTTTTTTTATATATTATTTTTATTTAAATAATGTATAATAATATAAAGTATTAGAGAAATAAATACAAATATTAAAAATATATATAATACGATTTAGTTTTTATTTTGTATTTTTTTAAATAATTTTTAATAATAAAATAATAACTAAAAAAAAAAGAGCTTGGGCTCGAGCTCGACAAAATTGACACGAGCTCGAGTTCGAGCCAAAAAAAGAGGAACTCGACGAGCCCGAGCTCGAGCCAACCAAAAGAGGCGAGCTCGGCTCGTTCACACCGCTAGTTATAACCAACTAGTTTTATTTAGAGCAACTCCAATTTGGAGTATTAAATGGATTATCAAACCTATAAACCACCTTTTTGATATCCCAAAATTAAAAAAAAATTACTCCAATGGGAGTATCAAAATGGGTAAGTATTTTGATACTCTACCTCTTTGAATGTAAAAATACATCTTGAAAATTGAGTTATCAAAACAATAACCATCTAAACATCCAATCACAAAATGACACGTGACAATTACAAATAAAAGTAATAAAAAACTTCCAATTAATTATTAATTTTGATAACAATAGTTGGAGTAGATAACATGAGCAACTCCAATGCTAAATATCAAAATTAGATTATCAAATGCTCATTTGATATTTAAGATAATATTTTGAAATATATTTAAAACTCATCTACTCCAACCATGGTTATCAAATTTTATTATCAATTGAAAGCTTTTTGATAATTTTATATGTAATTGCCACATATCAATTTGTAAATAACTCGTTAGATAGTTATTTTTTTTGATAACTCAATCTGCAGGAAGTATTCTTAGATTTAAAGAGGAGAAATATTAAAATACAAACCCATTTCAATAACCCCTTTGGTGAACAAATTTTTTAAATTTTAGGAGTCAAATGATAATTAATAAATTTAATAACTCATTTAACAACTCCATTAGAATTGCTCTTAATAAATATTAAAATATTCTCTTAATTATCAAATTAGTATTTGATAATTCAATTTTGATGTTTAACATTAGAGTTGCTCTTATTATCCAAGAAATATACTTATTTTAAAGTTGTAACTTCACGTCATTTAAAGCAAACGGATAAAGCGACGTTTTCCCAAAACCTCTCATTGGTTGACAATTGAACACAGTGGCGAGATTCAAGAACCTAACTTAAATAAATAGCTTTGAAGAAACAAAGAAGAAAAAAAGAAAAAAAATTAAATCAAACCCCACCCAACTCTCAACTGCAATGGCGGCGGCGGCGCCGGTGAGAGTGTACGGCCCTCCTTTCTCCTCCGCCGTGTCGAGGGTTCTGGCCTGTCTCCTCGAGAAAGATGTTCCTTTTCAGCTCCAGCCTGTTAACATGGCCAAAGGGGAGCATAAGAAGCCTGATTATCTCAAGATTCAGGTACTAATTTCACTATTTGCAAAATGGCCCTTCTATTTTGTTATTTTTTGTAATTTGTTGTTGTTCTTGATTTATGGGCAGCCATTTGGACAAGTACCGGCGTTTCAAGATGAAAGCATCACTCTCTTTGGTAACAAAAAAAAGTGCTTCATCTTTTGCTCTTCATTAGATTTTTAAACAGTACATTGTCGAGTAAACTTATGAATAGACCTTGAAATTAAATTTCAAAATTAAAAATAAGAAAAATATTATCCATTTGTTTCTTGTTATACTTGAGCTAGATTCGAGAATTAACTTTGTAATTAAGTCGGTTACGAGATTAAGTAAATTCGTCGTTTTTTTGTTAGATACAAAACCGTACTTGAATGAGAATATGTAGATAACATGCTAGTAAATCCTTTGGATATAATCTCATGTTCTTATGGTATAGTTCTTGAATTAGGGGAAAAAAAGTTGGTTCTTGAATTGGGACCCCATTTAATCTCTCCTTCTCATGTCTGTAAAAACAGAATCGAGAGCCATATCTAGATACGTATGCGAGAAATACTCAACCAAAGGAAACAAAGGACTATACGGAACAAATCCTCTTGAAAAAGCTTCGATCGATCAATGGCTGGAAGGTGAAGGCCAAAACTTCAATCCACCGAGCTCAGTCCTCGTATTTCAACTCGCCTTTGCTCCAAGAATGAAGATCAAGCAAGATGAGAGTTTAATCAAGCAGAACAAGGCGAAGCTTGCAAAAGTTCTCGATGTATACGAAAAGAGGCTCGGTGAGAGTAGGTACTTGGCCGGAGAAGAGTTCACACTTGCAGATCTTAGTCACATCCCAAACACACACTACTTGGTGAATGTGTGTGAAAGAGACGAGCTTTTTGCATCGAGAGAAAATGTCGAGAGGTGGTGGGGCGAGATCTCGAGCCGAGAGTCGTGGAGGAAGGTTGTTGATATGCAGAAATCACCACCAAGAGGTTGAGAATTTTTTTAATTTTTAATTTTTATATGTTGTGTCGATTTGGTTTGTTGGATAAAAGTTGTGGATGTTGTGTTTTTATAGTTGATATGCTATGAAGATTTTTATGAGAAGTTGACATTACAGTTGATGATTAATTGAATGTTTTTTTATGGAAAAATGAGGGAACAACCTCTCATTTGGAAAAATTACCTAGCCCAATTTGTATTTGAGCTGTTGTACACAAGTCCATATATTTTCTTATCAATTGCTTGACCCCCATTTCGTCCTGTTTATCCGTGTTCTGCCCTTTGTATATATATAATACCCAAACAACGTATCAATTATGATTGGCGTCAATTTTGTGATCACACCTCCGCATATCTCGCGTGACGTGATTAGAGCCAACTGCATATCTATATCGTTTTGTCAGAAATTACCTCAGTCAAAAAATTTCGTCATCAATTCTCTGCACCGAAGGGCGATATATGAGAGGAAAACAGACTGTGGAATCAAATTATCAACGAGAGATTGTACATAATAGGGGTGGTAAACGAGCCGAGCCAACTCGTGAGCTTGATGAGCCGGCTCGAAAAATTATGGTACTCGAACGCGAGTTTTTCGAGCTCAAGCGAGTTTCTAGTTGTTCATGAGCTCACGAGCCGGCTCGCGAGCCTTATTAATTATTTTTATTTTTATTTTTATTTTTTATATATATCTTTTATTTACATAATGCATAATAATATAAAATATTATAGAAATAAATAAAAATAAAATATAAATATTAAAAAATATATATAATTTCCATTTATTGTTTATTTTGTAATATTTTTAAATAATTTTCAATAATAATTAAAAAAATATTTAAAAAAAAAAAGAAAGAAAAACAACAAAATGAGCTTGAGCTCGAGTTCGAGCTCGAGCTCGAGCTCGCCAAAAGAGGTGAGCTCGGCTCATTCACACTTCTAGTGTAGTAGAAGGTATGCTGTTAGTATTAAATTGACCTCTCAGATGAGATCGGGTTGCATGTACTGATTGGTTTCGTATTTTACTATCGAGGGGACTTTAATATTCCATTCACTACAAGATTGTCATTGCTAAGGATCACGCCCCATCATTTTGCACCGGCTAGAGCACACGTAAAACTCATATATGAAAAAATAACTAGCTCAACAAGTCACAGCATCCACATATGCATTTGAGCTAGCTTATAAATTATAACATCATGCACACAAATAGAAAATGAAAAATAAAAAAATAACATCCTACACATACAACAATGATGAATTAAATACTTACTCTCTTCATACTACCGTGGATACAAGTCGCTCATAGACGATGCGTTGGAAAATTCAGCAGATTGAGTTAATAGGCTTTGTGACGGAGTTCCGGACTCGAATTGATTTGAGTTAAACTCATCGTGAGGGAATGACGCTCCTGAAAAGTAAAATCCGGGCTCCTTTGGAATCGGTAGCGTTATAGTGGAACTATTGAGCATTACAACAACTGAAGCCATTGTTGGTCTATCGGCTGCATTTTGTTGAACGCACAACAAAGCAATGTGAATACATCTCATCATATCTGGTTGGGCACCACAAGTTTCCCTCAAAACCGGGTTGATCATATTCGTAGTCCTTCCCTCGTGCCAACTTCTCCAAGCCTGATTGAAAAAATATATTAGTTTTATTGTTTTCGGATGTTAATATAATTTGTTCACAAGTTTTACTCACATGACTCAGAAGATCTCCTAAGTTTTCTCCATTTTGGGTAAATATCTTTCTCTGACCAGTTATGATCTCCAGGACTATGACACCGAAGCTAAATACGTCTGACTTGACCGAGAAGTGGCCGTGACTTGCATATTCTGGTGCCATATATCCACTACAACATATATATATATGTATATGAGTGTGTTCCTCAAATTTATATAATGTACATATATTTATGGTAGACTTACTAGGTTCCAACGATTCTGTTTGTACTTTCAATAGTTGCGTCAGCCACAACTAATTTTGCCATACCGAAATCTGCGATTTTAGGATTCATATTTTCATCAAGGAGGACGTTGCTCGCCTTGAGATCACGATGAATAATCATGAGCCTGGAATCTTCATGCAAATATAGAACTCCCTTAGCAATACCGACTATGCTTCTATAACGACTATCCCAGTCCAATTTCGAAGATTTAGTCCGATCTACATGTCAAATAATCAAGCTATATTTTATTAATCAACGTGTATACACACATAGATCATGCAGTGAGAAAAGAGAACGACGTAAGTAAAAAAGTGATACTTTACCAAATAAGATTTGGTCTAGACTTCCATTCGGTACAAACTCGTATACGAGAAGGCGTTCAATTCCTTCAATGGAGAAACCCAAAAGCCTAACCAAATTCCTGTGTTGAAGCTTGGCTAGTAACAAGACCTCATTCTTGAATTCCATAACACCTTGACCCGACTCCCTCGACAATCTTTTCACCGCTATTTCTTGCCCATTTACTAGTTTTCCCTGAGATCAATCATAACACGTTGAATCCAGCTAAGTAAGTATATGTTTTCATTTACTAATAATAGGAAAATTACAGTTTTCATCCCTCAAGTTTGCATAATTGCATCAACTTTACATTTGGTCCCTCATGTTAATAATAAAAGAACACATTTGATCGCTCTGTTTTAAATAATTTAACATTTTTTTTTATCATTTCCATCAATTTACTGTTAGTTCGTCAGATAATGCAGTCATTGGCACACGCTTGATTCTGTTAGTACTAATAGAAATTCGACGGGAATGACTACAAATGTTGAATTTTTGGAAAATTATGAGGGACCAAATGTGTTTTTCTTTTTGCCAACATGGAAGACCAAATATGAATCATGGCAAATTTGAGAGATGAAAACTGTATTTTTCCCGACTAATAATAGTGCTGGGAGTATATGTTTAATGTACCTTATAAACTGCTCCGAAACCACCTTGGCCGAGCTTGTTATCATCGGAGAAATCATTTGTTGCAACTCTAATTTTACTAAAATCATATTGTATAGATTCAACGGAACTGATCTCACCTGAAACTTCACCGATAAATGATTAGTTAAGTTTGATACACATTGAAGTTAAATTTGGTTAAAAGAAACGCGTAAAAACTACATATTTATATCTTAACACTTGAAAAAAGAAAAAAAGACTTACTGTTGGGATCGATCTCCATTGTCTTCTGCTTTGTTCTCGTCCTGGCAAAGATGCCAAAACCAAGAACCAATACTAGAAAAGCGACAACCGAAACAACAATGATGATAATGCTCCGAGTTCTTTTGCCTTTAACTTTACCTGCAAAGTTAATTTGAAATTTGTCAACTTTACGATGTTTTGAAGACAAGAAACTGAGGTTTGGTAATTTGAGTTCTCTAACATAATTCTTGTTGGTCACGTGACAAAAATGTGAGATGTCCGAAGAGGTAATTTTAGTTCTCTAACATAATTCTAAAACTTTTTATCAAAATTTATTTTTTCTTGCAACCACTAATCGTTGCAATAATCTATTAATACAAGTGATCTGGGCTATTTTGCCTAGGCCCGTCTTGACAAAAGCCCAACAAGATTGGCCCTCTTTCTCTCTCCTAGACACAGCCCACACTAGTTAAATAATATATTTTTGTATTGATTTACAAAACTTTTCTAGACTATTTTCACATTCAAATAATTCATAAAATTTAAATGTTGCATAAAAATCAATAAGTCTCAACTTTGAAATATATATATATATATATATATATATATATATATATATATATATATATATATATATATATATATATATATATATATATATATATATATATATATATATATATATATATATATATATATATATATATATATATATATATATATATATATATATAAAAAAAAAATAGTGGGGGGGGGGGTAGCCATACACACACACACACACGCTCACACTCTTGTTCTTTTTTTATATATTGATTTTTGTGGGAGTATATATATATATATAATGAGTATTTCTTAGAGATAGATATATATATATATATATATATATATATATATATATATATATATATATATATATATATATATATTTTTTGCAATTTGATGGTTGAAGGGAACAAAATTTGCTTAATTTTCACACAATTAGTTAAATTTTAATTTGGCTTCTTAAATTCGAGAAGCCAAAAGTTCAAATATAACATGTTTTCACACATTGCTGTTGGAGCTCATGTGATTGATATTGTATAAAAAAAAATGTAAATTATAAGTTTAGATGGAACTGTTGGAGTTGCTCTAACAGGGAATTGGGCTCAATTTAACAATAATGTGATTACCTGCTCGTGGTGGTGGTGGTGGTGGTGGTGGTGGTGGAGGCGGAGGTACCATAGGCGGCGGCGTTAAAGATGGCGGCACCGCTAGTGATTCTTGAAGCCTTGTAATATTATAAAACGGCGACGTTTCATAACGATAAATGCAGCTGGGCGTGTAGACCCTGACCCCAATGGCATCATCAATATATCCCGGAATATACCCCGCCGCCTGGACCAAGCAGCTGGTGCAATTCTCCGGCGACAAATCCGGCGTGCACTGCAACATTGCAAAAATCACCTGATTATCGGGGCCCGTCCGATTCCCCACGGCCGCCTTCTGCAGAGAGCCGCCGCGTGCCGCCTGCGCCCGAACGTCGTCCATCAATTCATCCCGGACCACCTTAAACCTGTCGGGACTTGTGGAATTAGCCATATTATACAAAATCCTTCCGGGACGCATCGCAAGATTTCCCAATATCGTCTCGTTCGAGTACCGAACCATACAGTATTGGGACCACATAATTGCCTGGTATTGGTTCGGGCATCTAGTTAATATCTCACCCGCGATTATATTGACGCAGCCTTGGCAGGCGTTGAGCTCAACGTCTGCTCGGCACAACGCAATTACGCTGGCTTCACCATCTGAGGTGCTGTAGAAACCGGTGTTGTCGATTTTTGAGGAGAGAGAACGGAGAACGCCGTTAAGATCGGATCTGTATAAGCTTTCGCTTGAGTAGTTCCCATTGTTTGAACAAACGAATACTTCGTATTGGGCGAGTACTCCCGAGTCGAAAAGAGGTGTCAGAATGAAGATTATTAAGAAGGGCTGCCACATTCTTTTGCAACTCATAACTAGTATAAGCTAATACTAGTGAGAATCTTATTTTTGTACAATGGAAAATTGGTTCTTACTTCTATTTTATTTTAGGGTACATTTGGATGGAGGGATTTGGGGAGAGATTTGATTTGGGGAATGGATTTGAAATGACTCCAATTTTGGAGTCATTTGAAATCCATCACTATTGCTCCAAAATCAACTAAAAATGTGGGGTGGGGATTTGAAATCCATCTCCAAATCCCTCAATCCAAACAAGTCCGAGGGATTTGTTATTATGGATTTGAAATCCCTCCCCCAAATCCCTCCATCCAAATGCACCCTTATTTTATTTTTAAATGTAGCGTGTGGGGACTGGGACGCCATGGTGCTTTGCGTTCCGGTACACATTAAGCGGTGAAAATAAAAAAAATATTTCATTTTTTTCCGGATGTGGAAAAATGGAAAAATTCAGAATCAAAATCTTGGAAATTGGAATGGAAAAATACGTTTCAAAGTCGAATTTTTTTTGCTGATGACGATTGGCAGAATTTGAAGATCAATTTTGTATTCACTTATCATATAAAATGCGTAACAATATTGATACTAAGTATGTAATTTATGGAATTTCATGTATATTCCAATTCGGATCCAAAAAATAAATAAAAAAATCAAGAGTTTTTGTATTCGAAATGAGAACATTGTAAGGAAATGCAAATTTTTCAAACAAAATTGGCGAAAAACAAAAAAAAATCAGTTTCAATTTCTACTGTTACACGCTGCTGCACCTATTAACTTAGTGAAATATTATTGAACTAATAATTTAGTAGACTTTTATCGAGTTGACCAGAATTTATCTATTTATCCAAGTTCTAATGTGAAGTGCAAATTTTACCAAACAAATTGAAACTAGAAAATGTTGTTATTGAGAATTGAAAAATAAAGATGATCGTTGACGAAGTCTTTTGTTTAGAATTTTCAAATGACAAGTTGTGAGCGAACTTGTATTTATCGAGTGGAGTCTCATTCACACATAATTAAACTTGTCTTTTGTATTAATGAATGACAAGTTGTGGTGAACCAAATTCTTGGCTCGGCCCCATTTTGAAGAAAAGAGAGGACAAAGGGGCCTTTGTATTTACTATTTATAGATTCCCAGTCTCATTCTGTAGTATAAATCACGTGGTGTGGACCTGTTCTTTTCTCCGATTAAATACTTTTCAAATTGTGAGAAATGTATGAGCCTGAGTCTTCACAACTTGGATTAGAGATAGGAAAGTTATGACCCTTGCAGTAGGGAAGCCACTATAGGGTCGGAGGGGCCATGGCCCCTTAAATTTTAATTTTCTTTATTGCTAAATATGTATATATAATTTATTTAGATTTATTTTTAATAAAATTAATTATTGTTAATTGGTGAATAAAGAAAATAATAAATGAGTGTAATGTTCGCCGAAAACCTACACGTTAGTGCACGTATCGTACAAGTAATATAGTGGACTAAAAGTCCGGATATCGAACCCACAAGGAATATTTAATTATCTAATCCTAGACGCTAAATTCTACCAATTATTATCAAGCCCACCCTACACAGTCGACTTTAGAGAGAATTAACTAGATTAAAATAAATTAAAAACAAGCAAAAACAAGAAAGCAATTTAAAGCGAAGATTTAATCAAGATAAGCAAGCCTAAGATTTTATTCTCCCCCCTATGTGATTATTATTCCCCCAATTCCTTCTATTATACAAGCAATTAATCCGGATTATTAACCTGAGATGCTAATTTAATAATAACCCGCTTCCGCGTGTATTGCGATTCTAATACTCTAGATTCAATTACTATATTCCTATGCAATTAATTCTAGAACACAACATTAAACACAAATCTCAATAATGGCTACCTAAGAGATTAATTATATTCCTATGTTAATACCACAAAGGCTCTTCTACCACAGTTCTAATTATTAACCCGATCTTCCGATTCATGCGATTAACAATAACATAAAAACACATAAGTTGATCAAGTTCATGCACTTAATAAAACAAGTAGAAGAAATAATTCGGAATTAAAACTTGCATAAAATCATAGAAAAGGGTTCATAAATCCCACATAGGGTTCCAAATAAAATCCTAGAAATAAAGACTTAGATACTCGTAATTCTTATGATAAATAAAATAAAATAAATAAATTAAAATCTTCTTTGCTCTTGAATTTGCGTAAAAAGATGGATCCCCCATTGTGTGCTTGGCTTGGTCTTATATAGGGTGAAGAACTTGGGGAAGAAGGCAGCTTCCTTGTGCAATTAAAATTCCTTTACTGCGCAACTTCGGAGTCTCGGACGGGGGTCTCACAATTTGCACTAAAACTGGGATGGGGTCCGAGCTTTAAATCTTCAGAATTTTGATATTTTCACTTTTGACCCATATTTTCGCCAAAATTGCAGTTTTGACCCCATACTTTTCCAATTCTTCAATTTGTACCTAAAATACAATAAATCAACTTTTTAAGCACCAATTATCTTTAAAACACACCAAAAGCTCAAATAAAAAGGTACGATAAAGTGTAAAAATATACACTTAACACACCCCTAAACTTGAACTTTTGCTTGTCCTCAAGCAAAATCTACCAATAAGCAAATAACTCAACGATAACATCTCATCACATAGATCAATGATCAACTTCACATTTTCAGAACTTGTAATTATAATGACAATTCTTAGGCATTCGCAAGCTCGAAATTCAACAACACTTAGTCACTCACCATTACCAAAACCACAATTCATACAATTGCTTCAAGCATCCAATATTTGCAAATTAAAGATAGAAATAATTTATACTTACATGCATATGCTTGACTCCAAATACTCACCAAATTATTCTACTCTACTAATATCGAACATTATGCTATTGGGATCATTGGGGCTTTGTGGCTTTCAATTGTTAGGCTCTTTGGTTCGAGGTAGGAAATATTGGTATATGTGGCTATTCTTCTTGAATTTAGGTGATTACGCCAAAATTTGAAAGATAGGCGTTTGAAACAATGAATTCACCTCTACGGACTTTAATAAACTCGATTCTCAAAAGTTCAAAAGTCTCCACTTTTGCTTTTGAGGCAATGGATCGAGTTTTCAAAAATAATTCAACAACTAGTCCTTATTTCTCCCTTCTAGTCTCTTCTTCTCTTTTTCTCTCTCTCTTTTTTTTTTAATTATATATATAGAAGCATAGATATTTGTCTTTTTTTTTTTTTTTTTTTTTTTCGAAGAAGAAGAAGGACCTTATAAAAATTTTCGACCGAACTCCAAGGGATAATTTTTTCAAGAATCACCACCTATTCCACCTTACACATTGGCTAAAAGAAAGAACACCTTTTCTCCGAGGCTCAAATCAAGGTTCTAAGGATAATTTCAATAAAAAGGTCGGCTTGAAAGGCTCAAACGGTTCAAAGAAGGCCCAAATCATATCCCAAATCACTCACTACTCAATACTTCGTATCATAAATTTCCTAAGGTGAGTCTTAAAACCGAACATAGCATGATCTAGCACAAATTAATTCCAAATTTAAAATACAAAACATTCAACCAAAGCAATGCACAAAATGTGATTCCTAGCAATAATTCGCTTCTAAGTCCCGTTGAATCGAAAGCTAAACAAACATCAAATCCTTATCACACAAAACAAGCAATCTCATCATCAAACATTGATCATCTCTCATCATCATAAATCATCGATGCATTCGACTCAAGCAATTTTTTTTTTTTTTTTTTTTTATATTCCGGAAAAAACGTTAAAAGCAAATAAAACCTAATGCATGCAAACTAAAAGAAATAAGCACAAAAACATGTTTTTCACCCCCAAACTTAAAATTTTCGTTGCCCTCAACGAAATTAGCACAATGTTTAAGGATAGAAAACACCTGATTTAGTCGGAGTCGATGTGATCGGGGTGCTCCTCCCTCGCTCTCTCACGCTCGTCCTCATTGGAAAGCTTGGGTACGGTGACACTTTTCTTTCCCTTTCCCTTCCCTTTGGAAGATGATGCTTAGCTCGTGTGGCCTCGTTTGTTGGATGACATAGTTGGGAGAGAGGTTGGAATAGATTCAGTGAGAATTGGTTGACAATCGAACTCAAAATTTGGTTGGAGCAAATTGTCGAACACCTTGTGGGCGTGCCTTGAAAGAGTAGATTTTGGAGAATTTTGTTTGATTCTCTAGCCTCCTTGTGTGTGGGATTTGGAGAGAACGAACGAGGAGGGTTTAGGAAATAATGGGGGAGAAAATCTGATTTTTAAACATTTAAAATGCCCAACTAGTTTCGGGCGGCCGTCCCGGTTTTTGTGCTAAATTTCGGACGGCCGTCCGAAATTTTTTCTCCTTACTGGTTTTGGGACGACCGTCCCACATTTACAGCTATTTTTGGGACGGCCGTCCCACAGGCAGTGGTGCAAATTTTTTTTTTCTTTTTTTTTTTTTTTTTTTTTTGTTTTTTTTTTTACGGACAGCCGACTCGACCCTCGATCACGTTTTCGACCCTGAAAAGTAAAATTCAAATAGTGAATTAGAATGCATGCTTATGACGATAAAAAAACGAAACGAAAAATTAACGAAAACTACGAAAAACAATAAAGCTCGGGTTGCCTCCCGAGAAGCGCTAAGTTTAAAGTCTTCACCCAGACTTTGCTTGTTGAAATTTTTATGTCAAATCCAAAGCCTTGTAGATTGTGCATTCATCCATGAGCTTTTTCACTTCAATTGCAACCGATACAAGGATAGGATTGCAATATGTCAGGGTCCACCTTAGCTTGTAGTCTTTCTTAGTTGTAATCAATCGGTACGAAGCCAAGATGGGATCTTCATCACCCGCTCCCTCAAATCGGTACACAAAAACCTCACGTCCGCGTATAACCTCCACTTCAAATACATTCGTCTTCTCATCAACCTCTATTGATGCCTTCAAAGCCACGTCAGGAATAACAATAAGATCATCAATTTGAATATTTGCACTAACCACATCCATCCCCTTCTTCTCTTGTTCCGAGACATCTTTGGAGTTGAGCTCGATTGCATTCTCATATTCATCATCCTTAAGCGTCTTCGTAAGTTCCTT